CGATAGTGAAAACATTTGGCATGCCGAGAAATTGACGGAAGCACATATAGTCTGTAAAGATATGATGGTTTATAGAATCCCGGCGAACTTCAAAGCCACAAAATAGAAGGCCTTTGTTTGATGTTGACTGTTGAACTGCATGTACTTCACCGTGCACAAATACTTTGTTTCAACTTCATTACAAGTATTACTATTCATCGTGGCTGCACGTTTCTTCTCAGCTGTCCCTATTTGGACGATTACTTAATAATTGTAGGAAAACTGCACAATGAGCTCAATTACTGTGACCGTGCACCAGCCTAGTCCCAGGCTCTCTCTCTCTATTCGCTGCTTTGATATATTTAAATAAGTCTTAAAAGTTTTATGCCTGGGTGTGCTGTGCGGAACGCTTCAGTGAGAGAGCCTAGCAGATTTCGGTAAAATGGTCCCTGATTTCAAAAAAGTGGTCCCTGGCCTGGTTACCAAGCATATCGCATTTGTAAATAGAAAATGTTATGGAAATTTCCATTGTGTTTATAATTAAGTCATACACCCTTTTCCGCATAAATGGCTGCCGATTAAAAATTCTTTTATGTGCATATAAATTGGCCCAACTAGCCTCGTACTCATGTTAAGATTTCAAAGGAATTTCTACCCAGAAACGAGGCTAGTTGAGCCAATTTATATGCACATAAAAGAATTTTTAATCGGCAGCCATTTATGAAAAGGGTGTATTAGTTTTGCTCTAATGCTGTCGGAACAATGAAATAGGCTACGTTTCGCTACCATACAGTCAGAATGGAATAACGGGCTAAATATGACTCGTGTTTACTAAAATATAAAGCCATATTAAATGCTATCTAAAAGCTTGAAAATTATGCCGAGTCTCCGACCAAAAATGTTTTGACAACACAGTCATGTCAGGCGAATATTTCCAGTCTCCTCAGCTACTTAAACCTGTCAAGTAGAAAGCGTAGTTGTGTATACCAGTATGATCTAGTGTTGATCACAACTTGCGAGTATATCATGAATAACATCAACGATTATACGACCATTGCTCAGACTCAGTATCGTAAATTTGTATATAATTTTTTTTGATTGAGCACATTTTTAATACAGTTTGAATTTGGTTATGTAGACATCAAACATGATCAACGAACATTGTCGTGTTTACAAACTTATTTGTATAAACTGGGACTAGGCTGACCGTGCACATATATTAACATGCATGCATAAACTCTGACAAAAAAACATGATATAACATCAGCCTAGTCCCAGTCGTTCTGAAGCAAGCGCGAGAAAAAACGTGGATGTAGTACGAGACTGGGATCTAGGTGTGACGTCACCGCTAAAGGTGCTTCAGAACGCCTAGCAGATTTCAGTATTTTTAATATGGCGGAAAATTTATATATACAAATAACCTTGTAAATACGACAATGTTCGTTGATCATGTTCCATGTCTGCATAACTAAATTCAAACTGTATTAAAAATGTGCTCAATTAAAAAAAATTATATGTAATGTTTACAACATGAGCGGCCGTGTTGTATCGGATATACAAACTCGAGCCGAAGGCGAGAGTGTGTAGATCTGATACAACACGGACGCGAATGTTGTAAACAACGGAAACTCGGCATAATATTCAAGCTTCTAGATAGCATTTAATATGGCTTTATATTTTAGTAAACACGAGTCATATTTAGCCCGTTATTTAATTCTGACCGTATGGTAGCGAAACGTAGCCTATTTCATTGTTCCGACAGCATTAGAGCAAAACTAATGACTTAACTATAAGCGCAAAGGAAATTTCCATAACATTTTCTATTTACAAATGCGATATACTTGGTAACCAGGCCAGGGACCACTTTTTTAAATCAGGGACCATTTTACCGAAATCTGCTAGGCTCTCTCCCTGAAGCGTTCCGCACAGCAAACCCAGGTATAAAACTTTTAAGACTTATTTAAATATATCAAAGCAGCGAATAGAGAGAGAGCCTGGGACTAGGCTGAGTCAGAGCTATATTTATTTAGTTATGTATTAAACAAAACCAGCTGAAATGCGGTCAGCCCGGTGTCCCAAGAATTTCTCCGCCCGAAATTAGGAATATCGCCCTCCCGGGGGCAGAAATTCCGAGGAAATTCGCCCCCCCCTTAGAAACTTCACCTTTCCTTTAGGATTTTTGTCCTCCATTAAAAATTTTGCCCTTCCTAACAGTTGCATGGGATAATTATTACATGGATTTAGTCATTTGAAATCAGTATCAGTTCAAAATTGTTAAGACAGAACTTGAAATAACAACCATTCACCGATCGGCAAGAAATTGCTTATGATTGGCGGAAAAGCAGGGTTTCGGTTTCCAACCTGAAAAAATTAAAGCAGGGAAAGTCATGACTGCCGATCACCATGATCAGAACTTTGGGAACGTTATTTCAAGCCCTGTAAGAATACAAATTTACAAGTTACAATTATTAGTATCGAAAGGGCTTACACAGTTACAGTAGATCAATAGCTGAATAGGACTTATGACGCTTCACAGCACACCAAGCATATTTTGCATTTTCAGTGTTAATCCTTAAACTCATTGTTAAAAAGTAATCGCCGTGGTGGTTATTGTAAATATTGGTATTGTTTTGCATCTACAGTGTGTCCCCCAAAAAAGGCTACCCTTTGAAGTCAAGCGTTAGTGCCGCATGTTCGAATTTGAATGCTTTAATTAACTCCCTAATGAGACCTGGAATGCAGGGCCTTTTTTAACATACAAGCTGGGGGGGGGGGGGCAAATGCCCCCC